ATGGACATTTCAGACTTTTGCCAAGGCATTTTCTGGCCTTGAATCAAAATATTTAGAATTTTATATGGCAGGTGAATATTCTTGTGTTTGAAAACCCTAAAACATCAAATTCATTTGCAAGCTATTTTTAACTTAATGAATTCAAACACAAATTAGAAAGTGAGTTGTGGTTTAAAAAAGAAAGAAGAAAACCAAATTTTAAGTCTAGAGGCTCTACTACTTGACTCAAGTCTAGTTAGAAAGAAACACAGATTTTACACAACTACCATTGCCTTTAATTCTTTTTCTTTGTTTTTAGTTTGCAGCACAGAGAAAATATAGATGAGCTTTCTAAAATTTTCCCTCTCAGATCAGTTCTTACTTTGATAGATTCTGATTCCCTTGTAAAAACAGCCAAGGTTGTTCAACCTATGACCAAAAGTAAGTGTCCATTAACAAATAACTATTTGTTGTATGTTTTCTTTGAAGAAGGTGAACCATTGTTTCAATCAGAAGTCTTTCCTGGATACAGGAATGCCTGTGTTAACATATTTCCATAAAATAGGAAATAGTGTGAGTTTTAAACAAAATAAATAGCTCTTTCTGGAACATAATGCTCCAAGGATATTTTTACCCTCTCATTGCACTGTTACTTGTCTTTATAAAATATAGTCTTGCCATTATTCTGATGACCAAGCTTTAAGCACTGTTGAGTTGCAAAACAACGTTCCAAAAATAAGATTCATGGTTACAAACCTCATTGACTTTCAGATTCCCTTTTTCATGATGTATCTAACAGTCTGGGTGCACATTGCTTTTTGTGTAAGGGTGTGGGGAGAAAAAAAAAAAAGTAATATTCTTAAAAAAAATAAAGGAAAAACCTAATATTCTGCAAATTGAAGATGATACCTCAGAAGCTAAAAAAAATGGAATCTGAGATTTACTGTCACTTGTTTGAAAATTGTTATGATGATTCTTTAAGCCATGCAAATATCACAGATCTGTAAGACTGTGCTTTGATGTATTTATACATTTAACTTGAATTGATATGCCTGATTTTTTTAAGCAGCAAAGGATCACAGTAACTCTAATGTTGCAGAGTTGTATAATTTTTTAAATCAATCTTTATTTTTCTATATATACTGTACATTATAAAAGAACCAATAAAACCTGACTTCTGGAACTGCAGCCTTTAGTTTAGAAGGAAAGCATCTGATTGCCTTTACAAGTGTATTTTTAATACCATTCATGACAAGTGCATAGGGTTATTCTTCCAGGGTAATTTGAGACAGCTGAACTTGCACGATTTGAGGAAACATTACTGGATTCAACATATTAACAAGTCATTTGTAATTATGACTTACTGTGAGAAATTGGGGAGAATTATGCGTGTTTTGTTTACAGTGGAGATTACAGTTTGTTAAAACATCCTAAAATATCTGTTTGTAACATCTTTAATACTCTAGAATCACCTCATTAATACCAATGAAATAACATATTTAAGCTAATAAGGATTTTTTTAATAAAGTCCGAATCTACTTTTTGCTCCGTATTTTTACCCCCAAAATTATTTTTGTGAAAGAATTAGTGGCAAAACCTAATTCCCGTTTACATTAGGCGATCTAATATGTCTAGTATCTAATGATTCTTATAAAAGTTTGACCTCCCCTTTGTGAATATCCTGTCAGCTGATAGTTGAAGATTTGGTTAGCGTGGAAAATTCTGTATCAGAAATAGTGTATTCTTAAAGGCAAACCCATTTCCTAGTGCACTAGCAATTTTAAGGTTGTAAGATGTGATCAGAAATTCTTACTATTAATGCCTGGTCATTTAAGTAATCCCTTCATTAAAAACTCAGGTACATTTCAAAAATCTTTTCACTTCAATGATGTACATCCTGCCATTCCTCTGCTTGGATCTTTTACTGTGTTCTGTCAGGCAATTCTTTCATGTCAAATTGAACGTGAAAATTAACTGCCAGTTTTCTCTGCATCTGTGATAACAAAATAGTGGGGATTTTTTTCCTTCAAATATTATAGGATGACTTTTTGTAACATGTGACATTTTATGTTGGACAACCTGAAAATTTCCTGCCTCAAATAATCATCTCTGTCTTCTCAGTCTAAACACTGCTGTAAACCACAATCAAAAAAACAGTTTTGAAGTATTCCCAGTAGCAGTCTTGAAATTTCTTCAAGTATATTGAGATTTTGTTAGAAATTGAATTGCCAGTGTAATCCATCTTCCTTGTGAGAAAAGATTCAGATAAAGAGCTGGAGCCTAGCAGCATTAAGTATTAGAACATCCCTTTAAATCAATAAGCTACAAATCTGGCAGCGCATTCATGCAATGCCCAGTGCTACCCTAAAGTGGCTTTAGTGCTGAAACAGCATTACTAATAGCACATCCCAACATGGATAAACATTAACCTAAAGTGTAGCAGGCCTTGCCTAGTTAAGTTCCACAAAAACATTTATATTGTACTGACATGGATAAGAAAGTAAGTTTCTTTCTTTTTTCTTTTTCTTTTTTTTTCAGATGACTTCCCAAACGTAGTTATAGATGGCATTCTACATGGAATATTTTATCCTCATTTACTGCCTAGGTAGAAGTGATGTGTGGGGAGAAGAAGCTGAAGCAAGTCTCTGAGTCACATTTAATAGAATTAACAGGAATAAAATTCTGTGATGTGAAAATTATGCTCAGAAGCAAGAGGCACAACCTCAGATTAATTTCAAGCATTGTATCTTTTTAAATAAAATCACTGTCATTACAGTTGCTGCTTTTAAAAAAATAGATATGGAAACAACAGTATTGAAGTTATTTATACCTTATATATATTGACATGCTCTAACTATTTAACACTAAATGTTCTAAGTCATACACTGAATTGCGCTAACCTTTGAAAACTTTTACTAATTATTTCTATAATTTTTATCAAAGCAAACACTAAACCTTTTTGCACCAGAATTTTTCCAAACGCATTACCCATGGCTGGCACTGAATGGATTAAAAGCACTGAAGAGAGTGTGTGAGGAATTGGAAAACATGCTTTCACATTCTGAAACACATGGCACTCTCTGAGGAAATTTTCTAGATTTCAGTTGAAATTATTTTACTTACCAGGAACTTTCATGTGGCATTTATGTATCTCCCTCCAGTTACAACATCTAACCTGTGTGTATGTTTACTCTCAACATCAACTTGCAGATTGTATTCCATATCTTAACATTTTATAAGTCACAGAGCATACAACTCTGTGGTAAAGTGAAGCAAGAATATGATTAAGATTATGATCAAACTAAAACTGATACATATGTTCAGATTTAACTGGAAATTTGTATGTGTGCTACTGGACATTACAAAATAAATTACTAGGACATGAATGTACTGCTTTGGTATCTTTTTTGTGCTTTTCTCTTGAAGCAAAACATTTCTCTGAGCTGCTGTTACCAGAAATGGGTCTCACAGATGTCTCCATGTGAAGCATGAGAAAATACCTGTGTGTGTGCTCATTTAAAGCTCTTAGCACCACACCATCTGACCATGCTAGGCTTACGAAAGTGTTATATCGTGGTGAATTCAGTGTAATTGAACAGCCAGTTAGCCACTGGGCTCATCGGTGGAAGGAGTGTTGCACAAAAGCAGCAAGGGCAAACCTAAGCACAAACAGGAGCCTGACATGAGGGTTGCCTCCTCTGACTACTAAATGTGTTTGGAAGCCACCTGGGGAGAGTGAAAGGCTGGCACTTGGACAAAAGGTAGGCCTGTGACTACAGCACTTGTTCAGGTAGCAGAACTCTATGCTGTCTGCACGATCAACCTCCAGGAAAGCTTTCAGCTACTAGCAGAAAGCTATTTGGGCACAGGAGTCTGAGGCATTCTTGCTCCTACTTCCTAACCCTGCTTCCCAGTGCTGCTTTTCAGAGAATTCTACTTTAAACAGTTAGTAGAAAGAAAAACTTGCATGGGTAAAAGGAACGTCTTGATTGCCTAGCACTAGGCAAATTTAGGAGCCATTGCCAGGTTCTCCTCTAGCTCTGTTTAAAGAGGACAGTAATCCTTTCACAGGTCTCTGAAAATAAGTGTCAGTATTTACCCTCAGGAGAGGCCCCAGAGCTGTGGATGATGAACCAGGAGCATCCCTGTAACTGCAGAGTACATGTCAGGAAGACATGGGATAAATCCCTGCCAACAGTTTCCCATTTCCTTGCAGATGGAATGTCAGTAGGTACAAGCTCTGTTCTGTAGCTCCTACTCTGCACCACTGAAAGTCTGGATATCTCACATGGACTCCAGGACATGCTTCAGGAACTAGTCACAACAAAGAGGGTGGTGTGCTGTCTGCTGCACAGGGGGATGAGTCCTTCATGAAATTTGGCATTGGCTCTTCTGTGTCAAGTTCTAAAACACTGTAAACTCAAAAGAAAAAAATCCCCATCTCTTGTCCTGTAGAGTATTATGTAACTTGTTAAAGAACTTAATTGACATAGGTGTCTCAAAGTGTTACCTTACACTGACCTTGTTTAAAAGCTACCAGTTAAGTTGTCAGCTTAAAAGTTACTTACAAAGCATGACAAAAATAATGAACCTAAAGTTGCATCTCTGACCTACAGCAAAACTTAAAAAAAAAAAAAAAGGCACTTGAGCTATCTAATAAGTAACATCAGCTAGGTTACAAAATTCACCATGCTATAAAACAAGGACTCCCCTGTTTTCATCAGTTTCTAACTGATTATCTTATTGAATAACAGACAGAAAAGCTGCTCTTTCTTGATTACAGAATGGTATCTGAACACTGTGGTTCTTTGAAAGACAGCAGGGACTTTATCTGACGTGTTAAGATTAGGTAAATTTACCATCCGTGCTCTAACCTTGTAACCATACTTCTGGAAAGCAGAACCCCCTGCATATTTTGCAGAATCAACTGAGGTGAGAAAAAAGACTGGGTGGGGGGAGAAAAAAAAGAGTTTCAAATATTTATTTAAAATCAAAGTTTATTTATTCAAAACACTTATGTATTTTACTTTTTTTTTTTTAATTTTTAAAAATGCTGGTAGTGTTACAGAACATATTTTCAGTTGAAAAGACGGAAACAAATATTGCTAAAATTTCCAAAGAAAACAAAGGATTTTGTTTTAAGCCTTGAGAAAAATAGAATTACTGCTATACTTTTTCATGAAAGACTTTTTCTGCAAGATCTAGAATTTAGTGGGGTATGTCTTGAATTTTAAGGAGTGAAAGCTCCATCAAGTTGTTATAGAAATGGTCATATCTTTTATGTATTTGGCAAATGCTAAGTACTGCCTAAATGTAGCCTCATATTTTTTGAGAAGAAAACTGAATGGACAGTGGAGATCAGTAAAAAACAGGTGTTAAAGAAAAATGATTAAGTTTTACTTTTCTTTCTGTTGATCTCACCAGTCATCTACTTCAACTACAAATGGTTCCTTTACAGCTATTTTGCCACTATTCACAATCACACAGTCCTGAAGGGGCCGGTCATGCTCATCTGTCTGCTGGAGTTCAATGGAGTGCACCACAGACTGTTAAACAGAAACAAACAAACAAACAGAAGAGTTCAGTTTAGCCAAGGAAACTCCAGTGGCTGAAGTCTGGTAGCACATAAACAACTAAGTGCTCGCAGCATTGCTGTTTATTAACCAACTTATGAACAAAGACCTTTACCCTGCTGAATTCCCACATGCTTTTTTTCCCCCACATTAATAGTTATGCCACTCTGCAACTCACACACAGTCGACAGGGAAGGCTGTTTGTCCTCTAGAAGAACTTTGAGCCAACAAAAGCATTATGAAGGGGCAAGTGAAAATGTATGTTTAGCTGACCCACCCAGCACATACAGGGTTCTAGCACATACAGAAAGGATAATCTAACTGTAAGGATAATTTCTAAATGTATAGCGTAACTGTGCTTCCTGCTTACTGCTTTTACTTTTAGCATATGACACATACAAAATTCAGTTAGGTATACTGACTACCTGGCTTTGGATATTTGTCCATCAATCTGACTAAACTAAAATTTAGTCTAAGTCTCTTCTCAAAATTTTTCAGCTACTACTGTAGGTCATGAAAATTGAATTCAATATGAATGTGGGAGAGGGGGACAAGTGTTCTGATGAGATTTTCAAATTCCTCAAAGAACTGTTCTGTCCAGGAGCTTGTTTTCCCCATTAATTTCAAAACAAAGATTAAAAAGGAATAATTTAAAAGAAAAACCAGCCTAATATATTCAGTTGAAAGTACCATTTTTAAACTTAAAATTCTGTCTGGCCTTTCATCAGTTTTGCAGCTGTGTACAGTTTCAGAGAATTAACTGATTTTTTTTTTCTTTTTAAAGAGATTGAATATATGTGTTTTTATACTTTATATTCACATGCTTCTAAAAACCCTAACAGTGAAAGTGTTACCCAGAACTAGCACATGTACAAAATCAGATTTTAGCTTGCAGAAATACAGTTATTTCATGGCTAACAGTGTTAGTGAAAGGAGGACCTGAACTTACTCCATTTGTAATCTGTAAAGGTGTCAGTGTGTATTTCAGTAGCTAGTGGTCTGAAACAAGGGCTGTGAAAGCCAAAAGCATGATTTAAGTTTCCATTTCTGCAGTTAGCATTTGCTATTTCAGTTCTAAATTGTCCAGCTGGAGCTCTTCACAATCATTTTCTACCATGTACGTATTAGATGAACACTCAACAGTTTTGAACCACAACTGTGTAAGTTATGGTAATACAGATATAACGTGGCAGAGTTTGTCCAGATTTTTTGTATTAACCTTGCCACTACTTTCAACTTACCATTCCATCAAGGACTTTGCCAAATACTACATGTTTTCCATCTAACCAGGAGGGCTTTGTCACACTGATGAAGAACTGGGATCCGTTGGTGTCTGGGCCAGAATTAGCCATGCTAACCCATCCAATTCCATAGTGTTTGAGCTTGAAGTTCTCATCTGGAAACTTTTCTCCATAGATGCTTCTTCCTATGACAAAAAATAAGAAAGCAAACTTAAAAAAAACCCCAACAACAACAACAATCAAAAAGCCTATTTTGTTCAAAAAGGGGAAAAACAAAGTATGAATTCAGGACTTGAAGATTCATTGTTTCAGTAAGCACAGCAACATCACTGTTCCATCATCAGTGATTCCATAACTAAAACCAATTTGCTTGTAAAGAAATAAAAGTAAGCTAAACCACCCCATATAGGCAGAGAATAGTTAAAGCTGATGATGCTTTATCCTTTCACTTTAACAAGCAAGCTGAGTATCTTCAGTGCTTACAGACACCACTGAACAATAATATACTTCATCCTGTTCAACAAATTTAACTTACATAATTATGGTCAGTAACAGCAAGGCTGCTGTGTTTTGTGACAATTTCAGTATTTACACCTTTTCCTCCTAATAAGAAATTGCTTCAGACATGTTTAGAAACAAAGGAAGACCAAATGGAAGTTAGACTAAAATACTGGGTGTGGCTTTGTACAACTCCAACATAAAGATTTTGATGTTTCTAAAATAAATTTAGAAAACACTTCATTCATGATTAAAACACCATCACTTTGAAAAGAGAAGGCTGTCTGTCTCATTCTTTACTTATGCAGTGCCTAGCACAACGGGGACATTGCTTCCAACACCTTCAAATACTGTCCCAATGAACAGCATCAGCAGGCAAATAAACGCTGCCTATCTTTAATGTTAAAACTGTGTCTTTGGTATTTTAGTCTTCCCCATTGCTGGCTGCAAGGAAGAGGAATGTGTGTTCCATTCTACCCCAGCAGGGAAATCACTGCACTGTATGCAGACAGTTCAACTCGTAGCACGCGAATAACGTGCACGGAAAGGAAGAGAAGAAATCCGAAGCCAGAGTGCATGCAATGCAAGAGGTGCTGAGCTGGGACTGGTCTCCTCAGTGGACTGAACTGGTCTCCTGGGGGCTCAGGAGGGAGAACTGATACACACAGCCAGGACTCATACCAACAATGAGTTTGTGGTTTCAATTCTGGTAAGAGGAAAAAAAGGAGAGGGCATGACCCTCATTTTCTAATTTTTCTCTCCCTGTGTTGAAATTCCCTCTCGCAGCACATTTCAGAAGGTTCCTCAGACCTGGCTGAGCTGAGGGCAGCAAGGACGGCCTCCTCCTTCCCTACCTGCCTTCCCTCTACGCGCTTTTTCACTGTTTCACCACATGCAACCAGGGAGCGCTGTCACAAAGCCAGAGCAGGGGAAGGGTGGAGACATCCATCTTTTGGAGACGGTAAGTTGTAGGAACAGCTCAGCTGGTCACGTGGCTCCAGCCCAGCACACAAAGCCATGCTTCTTGAAGGGGGACAAGTCACAGACAGAAAAGAGCTATCTGCAAAAATTGAGGACAAAGGAAGAGCTACACATACTTATAATCAGATAATCCAAGTAAATGCATCTTATGTTCCAAGATGCTTAGAAAAGTACTAAATGCCCTAAAACAAATGTGGGTTGGGTTTTTTTTTCATTTATGTGAGCTGAAAGAATGAAGGAAATATGCTGTTTTGCCCGTCTTTTCAGCAGACATTCGAACAAAGAAAGGGAACCTGGAAGATACTAAGCATGTTACCTCCTGATCCATCTCCTACTGTAAAGTCTCCTCCTTGAATCATGAAGTCTTTGATCACACGATGGAATTTACTTCCTTTGTATCCATATCCTCTCTAAGAAAATGAAATAATTCTTTAAATGAATATAACATCCAGTTCTTACAGTTCATATGGAAATACACAAGTTGTGAATGGCTAGATTTCATAGAATATAGCACCAACGGATATAATACTGGCAAGAAACACATTAAACTGAGGTGCAGATGAATGCAGCTGGACTGCACTGCCACAAAGCAGGTATTATTCAGGTGATCAAAGCCATTGTCTTTACTTCACTGGTGTCTGACCACAGTAACTTTACATGCTAGACCTACAAGGCAGGGACAGATGGCGATGGTGATATCCAGCATCTCATAATTACATCTTGTGAACCAAGGACCTGAAGACACACACCAGTGCACAGCCTTGGGGATGGCACTCTTCCACAGTCTCCAGTGAAATAAGATCAACAGTTCACAACTGAAACAGCATTAAACACACATTGCCTTCCCAATCCAAAACTAAGTGAGTACACAGTGGAAGAAAACCACAAACGTACTTCTCCAGTTGCCAACGCAATGAAGTTTTCCACGGTCTTTGGGACAACTTTTCCAAACAATCCAATTACAATTCTGCCCACATCTTTGTCTCCAATCTTCACATCAAAGAACACCTGAATATTTTTGTGAAGAGAACAAAAGTGATACAAATGTGAGTGCAACAAACAACCAAGCTTTTCAAAGCATCAGGTGGTAAGGAACTACTTCTGCCTGTTCTGTATCAATAGTATCCTCTGATTTCCTAAGGATGCTGTTTGAGAAAAATCCTTTCGGAGCCACCAAAATCAGATTATGCAGAAAACTTTTTGAGAACTGGTGACTCTATGTTTTGATTCTTATTGCTTTTAAAGATTGGTGGGACTGCTGTATCAGAAGTTTGAAGGTAGTGTTGAAGATTTTTCCCAGACATGCATGTCTTTAAAGCTCTATGGAAAAGATGAAATATGAAAGTTAGGAAGAACAATGATGCTATTCCCGTGTGGTGAAAAATAACAAGGAATTGTAGTACTGACACTCCCCACAAATGATAGTTTGCTATCCACTCATAATCTTCCTTCATCTCCTGTATGTGAGTAAGTATAGACAAAAGCCTAAATTTCTTTAAATTGACAAACAGTGGAAAGAAAATCCTATGGCTCAAGCAAGTCATCACTTTCCTAAATATGAATTCAAACCTGACAGATAAATAACCAGGCCAAATTATTCAGCTGAATGCCTAAAAGCTTCAATGTATATGTTGCTGAAAAGCAAGCTCAAAAAGGCAAATGAGTTATAAGGCATTTTTTTATAGTTCAGAATCTATGAATGCCTATTTGAACGTGCAAGAATGTTCCAATAATTACTGAAAACAGGAACAGCTGTCAGGAAATGAGGCATTTTGAAGTTCTGAAAAAGTTACATAAAGGCTATTACAGCTTCTAGGAAACAGCAATGTGTATTCCTATGATGTGGTATTTGCTGTTCCTTGTGGCACTCAACCAAGTATGACTTGTCTGCAATGCTAAAAAATTAGTCCAATAATGATAATAAATGGCCACAGTCTCTCCAACGTGAATGCCTCTTTCACACTCTCCTACTAAACATTTCTACCATTTCTTGATCTTCCATGTGGTTTTGACTGTTGAACTTTTGGCTAATGCTATAAAAGCACTATAAAGAAAATAAAATTCTTTTTGATACACCTCATTCATTTCCTTGGCACTTAATAACATACTCCTTAGATGTGTGGCTCCTAAAGTACTAACAGCACACTTTCACTAACTTTTTAACATTTCTACAAGCCTCTCTGAATTTTGCTGCCAGGATTACCTAGGTAAGGGGTATTGCCTGCCTACATTTTCTAAACGCAGCCTATTATGCCTGAAAATGTTGTTCTAGTAGGACTGCCTGAAATACATAAGCAGATATATAACTATCACAACTGAGGCTACCAAATGATCACCCCAGATATCAGTAACATCAGCACTTTCACAGAGCAGACGGAGACAAGTCCATCACATGTTGTAAACCCAGCTCAACAGAAAGCATCATACATGGCACTGCTGCTCGCCTAGGCAGTAAACCCAGTACTTCCAAAGAGCTTCAGCTTATTCTGCATTTGAGAAAAAACAGCAAGTTCCTGGCTTCCTGTTAGCACACCACAAACCTGCTTTACACGCTTGGTGATTTTTTGAAATCTATGAGCTTTTTAATTATGCACCACATTATGTATCTGTGCATATTTCTGGCCACAAAATCAAGTACAGAAGCATTTGGTAGTCCTACACACTATTTCTGCATAGAAAAGCCACGTAAGCATATTTCCTCAAGTTCTCTGAAAAGTCAATAAGCATGTAGACACTAGTGAGCTGGTCAACACAGCACTTTCAAATCTCAAAAAACAGCTGACCAGATTCTTCACCAAAAACTCTGAAAGGAAACAAACATAAATTTTCAGTCTTATTAATATTTACATAAATATTTAATCTTATTTACAATTTGCCTGTCAAGAATTTCAAGACTGAAATGAAAAAAGAACACACCAGTAAGGGTGGCTGGTTCTCATTAACATATTCATATATAACTTAGACAAGATGGTATACATCTAATTGAAAAAAATGGACAAGAGTATTCAATCATTTAGAAAAAAAAAAAGCTGACTGTGAAAGGATAAGCTCATGATTCTTAGAGACCAGGTAATATAATGACAAATGAACTGATAAATGCAAAAATACTCTATATGGTATACAGCCACAACAAGGGGTCCAAAATTGGCTACCACTCAAAAATGACATCTGGAGTCACCGTGAGCAGTTTAATGAAAAATTTGGCTTGTGAAGGTCAGAGAAGAATGTTAAAAATAATTAAAAATGGATACAGACAGGAGATGAGCATAATTACACCATTGCATACCTCTGTACTGTGTGTTCACACCCTGAGTGCTGCAAGTAGTTCTGGCTTCTCTACTGCAGAATGATAAAACCAACCTTAAAAAATGCAGAAAAATGAGCAGAACAGATGCTCAAAAGATATGGAATACCTTTTATATGAAGAAAGATTATATGCAAGCTGGAAGAGAAGAAACTGGTGCGATTTGATGAGCTTCATAAAGTTACCACTGCCTAAGATAAGGAAAATTGGCAGCTGAGATTCTTGATGTGCCACAACAATCAGAAAAGGGCATAAAATTATATCCCAGGCAGGTCTGATGAAGGAAAATACTTTATGCACAACTAAACTTGAATATATTGCCAGAAGATTACCTGGAGGTAAAAGTGTATTAAATTTATCAAACCCAGAAATCAAATCTGTGGTCTAGAAGTCCATAGTAATGAAACTGCAGGCAGCTGTAGACACCAATGGCAATGAAGTTCAGAGACACAGGCACAGTCCCTGACTTAGCTAAGGCCATGCCAGAGGAAACAGCTCTGCCCCTGTTACATTTTCATGACAGCAGGTGTCTTTGGGAGCATTGTCTCGAGTCTAGGTGAAAAGGTACTTGGGGGCAAAAACACATAATCTCTGCTTTGTCCAAAGTTGGATGAGACATCCCATCTCCTGCACCAAGCAAATACTTTTTGGAAAGAGATGCTGGTGTGTTGCAATAACCAGGTGAATCCCCACCTGCTGGCAGGCACCACAGCCCACGAGTTCATCTCTTGGGCAGCACCATCTGCGAGGGCCACACGTGCCCCTGGCGCACAGCCTGTCCTGCCTAAGAAGGAGCCTTGCCAACGCCCTGCCCATGGCTCTGCTGGCAGCACGCTCCAAGCCACCGGGCGTCCAAGCCTGTCGCCAGCAGGAATGACAAGGGAGCAGGAAACAAGGGGGCAATAAAGTGTCAGCTCAACACCAAGCATTTCACAGAATGGGTCGGGTTGGAAGGGAGCACAGTGGTCCACATCTGGTCCTCAAGCAGGCCATCCCAGAGCACATGACAGAAGATTGTGTCCAGACGGTTCCTGAATATCTCCATTGAGGGAGACTCCACAACCTCTCTGGGCAGTCTGTTTCAGTGCAGCCCCACAGCAGAGAAGTTCTTCCTCATATTCAAGTGGAACTTCCTGTGCACCAGTTTCTGCCCGTTGCCTCATCCTACTGCTTGGCACCACCGAGAAGAGCCTTGCTCCGTCTACTGACACCCCCCTTCAGATACTTAAGGACACTGATGAGGTCCCTCTCAGTCGTTCCCTCAGCCTTTCCTTGTACAAGAGATGCTCCAGTCGCTTGATCAATTTTGTGACCTCTGCTAGACCCGCTCCAAGACTTTCACAAAAAGGGCAGGGAGGAGGGAAAACAACCCACTGCACACCCCGAGCCCCCCCAGGTTACAGCCCCTGCCTGAGGCAGCCTGGTACCACCAGCAGTTCCGAACTGCTCCTGGCAGCAGCAGCGGCTGCAGCAGCGCTGGCGGGGGAAGGAATGTGAAGGTTTCCATTTCTGCAAGACAGAGGGAGGCTTCGCTGGCCCGAACTGCGCGATGTGCCAGCACCTACAGAAAGGCGGCATGCCCAGAGGGGCTAAAAAAACCAATCAAACAAAAAACCCCCAACCGTTATAAAACGGTAAAGTTACGGCGTTCGTCCAAAGCCTCCCCAAACCCTCTGTGCCCGGGATGCGGCGCGAGAAGGAGGGAGCCGGAGCAGGACCGACTGTTGGAAGCGGGGCGGCCGCCACCCACCCCGGCACGCCGGCAGCGGCGCGGGGACACCCCGGCGGGGGGGGCTCCGACCGATCCCGAGGCGTCCCGGCCGCGGGCGAGAGTCAACCTGGCTGTCACGCTTGGGTCCCCTCCTCCTGAACCTGTGCCGCCGGGGCCAGGAGGCACAGACAGGCCGCGGCGCCCAGCAGCGCCGCCGGCGCCCCGCGGGCCATGGCGCTGGCTGAGCGCTGAGGCGCCTGCGCCCGGCCCGGCGCGGCCCCGCCCGGCCCAGCGCGGGGGGGCGGCGGGAGCTGGCAACGCGGCGCAAGGAGGGCGGGCAGGGCGACGACCTCCCGTCCCGGGCCAGCGACCGACCTCCCGGGGGGAGAGTCACCCATCCCGGGCCAGCGACCGACCTCCCGGGGGGAGAGTTCACCCATCCCGGGCCAGCGACCGACCTCCCGGGGGGAGAGTTCACCCATCCCGGGCCAGCGACAAACTACCCGGGGGGAGAGTTCACCCATCCCGGGCCAGCGATCACCCATCTGGGGGAGCGATCACCCCATTAGGTGACCCTTCTACTCACCCCTAGTGACACGCACCTTGAGTGCTCTGTCCAGTTCTGGGCTCCTCAGTATAAGAGAGACATGGAGCTGCTGGAGTGGGTCTAGCAAAGGGCGACAAGGGTGATTAGGGGACTGGAACATCTCTCTTACAAGGAAAGGCTGAGAGAGCTGTGCCTGTTCAGCCTCGAGAAGAAATGACTGAGAGGGAACCTCATCAATGTCTATAAGTATATGCAGGGAAGTGCTAAGAAGATGGAACTAGGCTTTTTCAGTGGTGCCAAGCAATACAACAAGAGACAAAGAGCACAAAATGATGTGCAGGAAGTTCCAGCAGAATATGAAAAAGAACTTCTTTACTGTGTGGGTGACCACACACTGGAACAGGTTGTCCAGAGAGGTTGTAGAGTCTCCCTCACTGGAGATGTTCAAGAACCATCTGGATGCAATCCTGTGCCTTGTGCTCTAGGATGACTTTGATTAAGCAGGGAGCTTGGACCAGGTGCCCCACTATGGTCCTTTACAACCTGACCCATTCTGTGATTCTGTGATTTTGGTGTTTGGTATATTTAATGTGCTGAGTAGAAACAGGAGTCTGTGAGGCTCTTGTAATGCTTCTGCATTCATTTGTGTTAG